GTGTTTTTGTTGTTTTCCAGTCACGAGGCCATACCAGGCAGTTGCTTTGTAATGTCAGGTTGTGCGTGGAGAAAGGATGGCAGAGAAGTTAAGTAATTTGTGTAGTGCCGGGTCAACTGCAGTTTCATCTGTGGCGTGCCCTGGACAAGTCCGTTCTTTTCTTAGCTGAAATTCCTTTAAATAACTAAAACCAAACCAAACCAAAAATGTCTGGGACCAAGAAACATGGATTGGTTTCATTTTTAAGCATATGTTAAGTCATTAAACTAATATGTGACGCTATCTCCTTCCTTAATGATAGTGGTAGTTGTGTAGTGGCAGTGATAGCCTGTGGTCCCAGAGGTGAAGGGAAGGAAGGAAAGTAATTTCACCAGATTATTTCAGAACTGTTTAAGTATAAAATAAATGTTTTACTCAGTTTAGGCTTTAGTCTGTTATTGAATCAGCATCAGAGCTTTGGCAGTGCAAACTTATCCTGCTTTCATTGCTTAAAAGGAAGGAAATAACATCTTTTTTCTGATAGAATAAACACTTTTTCAGATCTCCTCCCTGTGCTGCAGCCCCTGTGTGCTGTTGTAAAAGCAGCAACTGTGTTGGTTTTTCCTGTTTGTGTCACGGCAGAAGCTTTGATGCGAGTTGCTCAGAAGTTAGTGGCTACAGCACCCATCCTTCATCCTCTTGTGGTCCCTGTTTCTCTCTCAGTAGACTCATGAGTTGAAGAAATAGTTGAGTTTTTTTGTTAAAATTTTACTGTGAAATATTTATTCTCATCCTTTTCCTGCATAATATGTTCTGACCACAAGTCTGAAAATGTAGCTCTTTCTGAAGAATTGCAGCAGAGTTTGGTGCAGTTTTAGAAAGTTTACAGATGTACCACTGGGATTTGCTGAGGTGTTGTGCTTGATAACTTAAATAATGCTGTTTCTGAAGATTTTATATAACTTGGGCTGAAGGCCCCAGGGATCATCTGATCTGACCTGCGTATGAATCATAAGCCAGTAACTTGCATGTAGTTATTCTTACATTGAGCCTAAATACTCATGCTGGACTAAAGCCTGAAGATGTTTGGCTGAAGCAATCTTCTGGAAATGGAAAACATCAGAATAAGTTGAGTGCATGTTCCTTGGGTGTGGAGCTTCAGTGCCTAACTATCCTCCCTTTTTTTTCATCAAAGTTCATAATTAAGATCTTTCTGTTCTCACTTTCCACTGTTTTGGTTATGATGTGTGCTAGATTAGAGAGAGCTTTTAGTAATCACTCTTTGCCTTCTCTGAAGGTACATGTGAACTACAGACATCTGCTAGGTTTCCTTTTTCCAGTCATTCTTGTAGCTCTCTTCTACGCTTATCTGAACTTTATTCTTATCCTTTTAAAACGTGCAAACTGTATTCAGTATTTTTGGTCTCACTAATGCCTTTTAAGACCTTGTTTTGAGATTTAAAATCTTGCCTGGGCTTTAGCCCAAGTCAGAAATGGAACTATTTTACAGTTCGCTTCTTTTTATGGTCATATTTGAATACAGCTACTATGGCTTTAGGAACTAAGTTTCTCACAGTGTACAGGGTGAATCTTATTTCGATCTTCTGGGGGTTGTCTTAAACTTCTGCACAGTTATGTACTGAATTAAGGTATATGCAAAATCTACTTTTTTTTTCCCTTGGAGAGAGAGTGAATTTATTTTTACTTGATAAATCAGAATGCCCATTATAATAACTGTTATTTTGGCATGCTACCAAGTAAGGAAGAGAATGCAATCATAAGTATATTTGCATGCATTTGTAACTTTGGTCTTGCCCAAATCCTTCAAAATTGTTTGAATTCTGTTAGACACGTAGTCTCTTAGCTGAAGTGTACCTGAGGCTGACTTTGCTTTGGCTAACCAAAAATTAAATTTTACTTAAATATACATCTAAATAGATATACATATATGCATGTATATGTATACACGTATTTGTAGACACACACCTTTGGTTCCTAATCCTGAGAAGACAAATCCCCTGAAATTTTCATGGGGTATCATACTGTTTAGGTGTTTAGAGGTTAGGAGTTATATTTTGCATAACTTAACATGCCTTTAGTACTGAAAAAAAGGAAGCATGATCTTTGAACTATGAAAAGATGTAGGAAAATATTCCACATCTGTTTAACTGGAAAGAACTTCCACGGTGAAAGATTTTTGATTTAAACTGTCTATGAGACAGTGACTTTTTCTTAAAAGCTGATTTTGGAGTGCAGGTAACTGTTGGAAGAAGTACACTCTTTAAATCTTTCCTTTGTAAGGCAATGGTGAGTCACAGAGCAGACTGCTAGCAATGGGGAAAATTTTTGTGCGGATTTCGAAAACTGAAATACTGACTCTCATTTTCCTCTCTTTTGAATAGTAGAGTATTACTTGTGTGAATTTAAATCTCTCTCCATCTTTGACTATTCCATTACAAAATGGGTAAACCTTTCATATTATGGCTGGTTTTCATGCTACTTTTCAAATACTAGAAAGAACTATTGGTAAAACTAAAGCAGTATGAATGTATTATTTTCTTTAGGATGGAGGTGACCTTTTGATGGATAATGCCTTTTGGTGATGAGTTACTAGCTTCAGATACTTGTACATCATTTGATCTCTTTCTTCTGTAACGCAGTTGTAGTGACAGATTTGTAAGATTTTGTTGCCATATTTAAAAATGGCATTTGTTTTCAAGGTATACAATAAATTAAGACACCTAAGATCAACCAGAGACTGAAATCTTACTTGCATGTTGTGAAACTTCATGCATTCTAATGCTCCTGTATGGCAGCAATGGTGGCTGGTGGGATCCTCAGATTTGCCTGGTGCTTTTCCCTGGAGGAGCTGGGAGAGTTGGAGTTGCAGGTACACACCAGTTAGCCCTTTCTTCTGCCTGCAAGCCTGTGAGACCTGTGCTGTTCCTCAAAGGGAGGTGGGGAGCCAGCCTCTCTCAGCAGCACTCGCCTTCTTCTGGCCACCTTGTGCTAGGTGACCTGCCCTGATGGGTTTTGCCACTCCCCATAGCCATGTTCTCCTCCTCTGATTTTTGTGCAGGCAGTCTGAGAAAGACAGAGGGATGTGTTTGATGGCTGCTGTTGCTGGGGAGGATGCAAGAGAAGGGATGCGGAGAGAAGAGGACGTATGGTGCTTTGTGGGGTTGGGTGGTGGGAAAGAGCCACGTCCACTGCCTGGCAGTGGGTAGCTGCCTCTGCTGCGATGGTTCAGAATCCCTGGTCTGGCCTCTGCAGCTGCTGAGATTGGATTTTGCTGGCCTTCTTTCAGCTCCTGTCGGAAGAATAACAGTTTATCTAAGAGACAATGCTTTTTGGTATAGTTCATGCTATTTTTCAGAAAGACTTTTAAGTCCTCTATTGGTTTACTGGTTCTGCATAATGGCCTTTTATAACACAGGAATCTTAAATAGTTGCAACTTGACTGCAAGATGTGGCAATTAGTTTTCCTTTCTTTTCAGCCTTGCAAGCAGACTGTAAGCCTGTACCGGGTTGTTATTACTCCCCAAGCAGATAATTTTCTAGGCCTGAAGGAAAGGAATGCTTATCTGTTCAGGGGCAGTGTATTGTAAGTTGAATTCAGTTTCATGTTGCTGGTCCTATTTTGTTAACTGAATTTGCATTGCTGTATTTTAAAAGATTTATAGAGAAATTATGTGTAGTGGTTAAAAAAAAAGGGGGCATTTTTTGTTTATGGTGATATATTATGCTGTTTGATAAAAGATGAAGAGGATGATAAAAGACAATGTATTTTGCCATTTTAAAATGCTGATTACTCTTTACTTAATGAGTTGCATTTTGAATTCGGCCTAATGGAAGAACTGTCCTGAAATGGAAAATAAGCTTTGCCAGCACTATCTATCTCAATGGATGATTTTTTTCTTCTTCTCCTCTATGTCTAAATAAGATGTAGAAAGTAGCAGGAAAACAACAGTTTTGCTCAGCTTTCACAGAGATATGAGAGGGGAGTGAAAGAAATGTAGAAAGCCTGGGATAATGAGAGAAAATAAACATATCGGTGCTCATGTAGTCTTGCATAAATGCCTGTATCAAATGCAAGAGAATGTGTATCTAGAGATCAAGAGAATATAAAAGAACTAAGATTGAGATAGCCACACTGGGAGAGCAAGAAAATGCTAAAAAATGATGTGTTCTTTTTAGTAGCATGCTTTCAAGTGGATGCAGGCATATAAATTTTGACAAATTGGTAGTGGAGTGGAATTTGGGAACAAGTAAATTCAATGGATTTTAACCTCGATAAGGAAAATAACATTCATAAAAGTTTGTATAAGGTGCGATAGATTGGAATCTTTAACCTGGTAAATGTTGTTTAGGACTGGTTTGATTTTGGTGTTTTTTGTTTGTTGTTTTTTTTGTTTTGGTTTGGTTTGGTTTTGTTTTAAGAAGTTGTCACAGCAAGGAGTATGTTCATCTGTGAACTATCAGGAAAGTTCCAAGTTTTTGTTATCTTGACCATTTAAAACACTCTGGCCTAGACTTAACTTACTTACATTCAGCTGTAATAACTACTTATTTTAATCACGAATAGTCTTGGAAACCCATCTATCTACAGACCGTTGCCTATTTGTTTAGTAATTCTTAATTCTTATATAATTACATATAACAAGCTGTGTTCCTGTGCTTAGCAATGTCTTTGGGGCATGGTGGGAAAAAAATGATGGTAAATGGATCATTCCTGACTTCTTATGTACAAACTTCTGAAGCTGCTTTGTGTGTTTTAATCCAAAAGCAGCCCTTAGAACCAAGGTCTAATCCCAAAGCTGTGTTGATGCAAATGATTTGCATGCCAAAAAGAACCACTTGTGTGAAGAAGGATAAAATGTGGGCCTCAATGGATTTTATTTTGCAATAGCTGCTTAAACATGTAAACTTGGTCTTATTAAAAAGAATGAGAAAATCTGTGTATGCCATTAGATAATCATAAATGTTTCTGTGCTATTCTTTCTTTCTTTCCAGATTTGAACATGGAATTCAACCCATCAGATCATCCACGGGCCAGTACGATATTTCTGAGTAAATCGCAGACAGATGGTAGGTTACTGAATTTATTACAGTATTTGCTGTTGCAGTTATCTCTAAACCCTTTATTAGAATGCATGTAGTATATAATTCCCCTCTCAAAAAAAAGAGGCGTTTAGAGGCATCTTGTTAGAGTTTAAAGAAATCAGACCTTTAGTTAACTATTTTGTCAGACTAATAGTAGAAGCTACAAGTTTGAGTCCTGTCATGTGCTGAAATTGTAAGTTCCAAGTAGTCGTTGTATCAGAACTACAAATATGGATAAAGCCTAATATAATCGTATTTTTAAAATATTTTCCCTAAATCCAGAATTTTCTGTGTAACTGTTTGTTACATTAGGCCAACTTTTGGGAAATGTGTGGGGAGTACTTTCTTGAGAAAATACCAGTTTACATTAGAAAAGAAGGCAGTCCAGAGTTTCCTCTGATGTAGCTAATACTGTAAATGAGCTCAGTACTAGATTTTAATAACAAAACAACCCCCATCCTGCCCAAACATTCACTCTTCTTCTCTCATTATGGATTTGGTATAATCATGTATTTGTCTGGAGGTTTGGGTTTTTTTATCCATAGACAAAATGATCTCTCTGGAATTACTTCTGTTAAGCAAACCTCTTGATAGAGTTAGTAGAGTAGAAGCCATTTATTGTGGCTCTTTCATTCCCTGTTGGACATGTATGACGTTGTTTTAGAAGTAGATGAATAATTGATGCAAAACACATTGTTCTCTACCAAGACTTTCAAAGCAGTTTCTACATTGTAATTCTGACCGTTCAGTATGAATTCTTTGTCCTTCTTTCTGCTGCCTATAAATGCTGTATTTGATTTACATAGTAAATTGCAGTGTCAAACACATCACTTAAAAATAATGTAGTTTTCACTTACTGTATATTTTTTGCTAATTTTTTGAGCATGAGTAGAACAAAGAGGACATACATTTAGGCCCTAATTGAAGAGTTGATTATGTGAGTACCTCTTTTGCTTTTCAGATTGTCCTTCTGAATTCAGCCCTGATTCTGTCAATACCTTATGTGGTTTTGGATGTGATTTACCATTCTAATCTGGTTTGGTAGTCTGTAAAGTGAATATGATAATATTTCCATAGTACACTGTATTATGAAGATTGATGTCTATTTTACAGTGTTTTGAGACTGTATAATCCTATATGGATGCTACCTGTTTCTTGTTACAGCTTGCTGAAAGAAAGGACAAAAAAAAAAGAAATCCCAAGTCCAGCAACTGAAATTTTGACCAGACATGATGATTTTTCTTACTTGTAGTAATAGTATTTAATTTATTGCAGGATGGAGTTAACTATAAGCATTTTTGAAAATGACAGTTTACACCCATGCTGGAGTTGGTCTATGAAACTTTGTTCTAGTTTAAGTATTATGAAGAACATATTTTTGAGTGAGAACAATGAGTTCAGTGAAACAATATAGAAATGTTATCAACAGGAGTGTAAGATCTGTTCAGCTATCCTTGATCATGTTGGAAAAAAATCCAAAGGCTGTTTTGCTTGTACAAAAGAAGAAAGATTCTGCAAACATTTATCTGTTGATGTATTGCCAAGAACCATCCTGTTCTGGTGGGACAACTCACAGTAGTTAGCATTTTGCCTGGCTGTACTTTGGGCCCCTTGTGGAACAAAGTGAGCTATAAGAGTTATCACACTATTCAAGGTTGTTGTCTAACACCAAAATGCAATAAAATGCTTGTTAAGAGGAAAATATAAGGGTTTTTTAGGGTAGGGTTGTATTCTGACAGCCTGCGCTGGAGTCTAGGGGACCCCCAAGACTTCTTAAGACAATGTAGAAGGCGAGAGCTGAACTAGCAATGTTGAAAACACTCAACTTGGGCATGTAACTACCTCTCTTTGTTACTTACGTAGTATTGGGCTGGCAAACCTTCCTGTTGACTGTAAGTGAAAATATTTCTGTAGATGAGACCTGCAGATGTTTAAAATACACATATTGGAGAGTTGAGGGGCATCAGGACTCAAGGTTTCATCCAGGATCTGGCTGTGACTCTTGAGTGTACTTCACATTTGTACAGTGGAAAATGGCCAAGTCCATCACTACATGCTAGAGTGACTTGGAGCATTATCTTCAGGCAGTTCCGTGTTTGACTTTATAGTAGCCCTGTACTCTTTCGGCTTCGCTGGTAATCTTGTAGTAGGGTCTTGGGACAAGAGCTGTGCTTCAGCTGCTTGTGATCAATGTGTGAGTGAAGAGCAACAAACTGACTACCCCAAATACAACGACCCAGGATGTGGCATCTCTGGATATTATGTTGTCTGAATTTCCTGTTGTACTGTGAAGCTTGGACACCATGCTAAGCAGCTAAATGTGTCCTGTCCCTCTTAGCCAGTAGCCCGAATGCATCCTTAATTACGTGAGAGTTCAATGAATCTGCAGAGAAGTTGAAGACACAATAAATATTAATTTGATTCCTAACTAAAGTAGCTTTTCTAAATGTTTCCAGCTCTTTGTGGGAATTTTCTAGGCACTGAATCTTACATGAGTGATTCTCCCTGTTTAGGGAGCTAGTAAAGAGTATCACCTGTTATGTCTTTAACTTCTATGAGTGCTTTATGCAACTTCTCCCTTGTTTGCTGAGTTTGGCCTGTAAGCAGCATGGTCTAGGTGACCAAAAAGCCATGCACTATTTTGTGTGTGGTTGTGGCTAAACCGGGGTTTCCAAACCTTAGCACTCCAATAATGTAACTTCCTTTCCTTATAACAGCAAGAGGGCAACGGTTGCTATTTTAGGGTGCTGGTAGTGGTCTCTTCTGTAAGTGGGTTATGGCTGTCCACCTCTCCTAACTTACATTAGGCTTTACATGTTCGATGTACTGGCTAAATTTTGTGGTATCAGTGCAACAGTGGGCTTCAGACAAAGAGGATGTTGAAATTCTGTTTATATAGTGGATAGAAGTGAAGTAAGCTGCACTTGCTCTTTAATGTTAACTAGGATCAGTCTCCTGTCTTGAATAAAACAAAAAGAAATGATTTACAAACTCCCAAAATGTGAGACATTTTTATTGATGTAAACCTCAAGGATTTTGTCTTTGATTCTAATATGGGTAACATTAAGATAGCCTATAGAAACTGCACAAAGAAAGTTTCTATTACAGCTCAATGAGAAATACGTACATACATGTACACATAGGCGTACATGTATGTACACATATATATGTGTCTGTATTTCCTCACTCCCTTTTATTTCAAGATAATATGTTTTCCTGCTATTGCAGAAGTTCAGCAATAACAGTTGAAAGTGCCTGTGGAAATAGTAACAGGTCATTGACCTTAAAATGGGGAAAACTAAGACAATTTGGCAGCATCTCACTCTCCACTTGAAGAGCTCCATTCCAACTTTCAAGTTTTAAAATGTTAGAAAGAAAGTAGAAGTTTAATTGTTTAAACTGACTCTGAATCTGTTCAGCTTCATTTCATCAAAACCTCGTGGTTGAAAGCCAAAGGCCTGGCATTGCATTTAAGAGTCTATGCTACAGAATGACAGTTAATTATAATACTATGGTCTGGTCTGCTGAAGACCATACTGTGCTGTGTGAGGGGTGCAAAGCATTTTTAAGCTGCCTGAAGCCAAGTGACGGAATTACCTCTTTACAGTCATTTTAGCTTGACAGAAGTGGCCTTTTGCCTTGTGCAATAATTGTCTTTCCCTTGTTTAAAGGGAGAGTTGCGATCACGAAAGTGAGCGGTTGTGACAAACTGGATTTCAGCTATACCCCATCGACATATGTTCTGGAAAGACTTGAGCCTTGTACTATGGCAGAGTGAGCCAGAAGCACAAAAGCACAGCTGCCGTCTTGTAGTCCCTCACTTGAGAATCCAGGCTAATTGAATTTCTGTTAATATGGGGAAAATAAGGGAAAGGACGTCAAAGTGGTACTTAGAAGAACATGCAGCACAAGCAGTGCTTGTGCAGGGAGCAGTGAGGGGTGTGTATAAATACATTAATATATTCTTCTGGAGATCGGAGATAGCAAATGGGAATGAGCTGTAAGTGGTATTCTTGCTTTGGTATCATCTTGGATGATTGTACTTGGGGAATTGAATAATGGATACAAGGGAAAATACAGAAGAGAAAAACTACAGTAGGGGAAAAAAGGTGATTAAAATGGAATTTGGAGTGTATGTGCAAGCTATCTTTATAGGATTTTGTCCCTAAGAACTTCGTATGCAGTAAAATTGTGATTAAAACACTGTTAAAACAGTGTTAAAACACTTAGCTGTGTTCAAAATTTCTCAGTTACTAGGTGTTAATTTTCAGCAATCTGCTCTATTAGATTTACGTTCAGCAGAATTGTTTACTGCCTGTACATTGTAATATGCAATAGTAGACAAATACTTTGACTGTTCTTAGAAGTGAGTATCTACCACCATTTTGTTGTTTCCCTTTAGAGTACTTATGTCCCTTGCTGGTGATAAATGCAGTGTGTGGAACTTAAGTGTAGTGCAGTGTTTTAGCAGGATTTCAAGCAGTTTAACTATTTACTGGATCATCAGAATTTTCCTGCTGTTTGTGTTTAATTCTGTTTCTTATACAATGTCCATAATTGTGGATCTGAGCATGTACTAAGTGACATGGCTAACATCTGTCATGTGTGATTCTCCTTTCTGCTCCCTGGGAGGAAAATTATGTAAGGATTTTTAAAAGTTTTTTCTTATTTTCTTTTCATTTTCTGTTTGCATTAAACACAATTATTTCACAGTATTCACACATCCAGCCTTGTTTATGTGAGATTGCTTGCTTATAAAAAAAAAAAAAAATCACAAAAAATGGCTTCTCATCCAACAGGGAATGGACAGGCTATCCCACCATTATGAACACTCTTATTTTGCTAAGCGCATTGGGTTGCATAGCTTTCAAATCATGGTGCACCAGAGTGCATTTAACCACCTACAGCATGAAACCATTATTATTTTAATCCTGCAGTATGATTTATGTGTTAAGTTGCCTCCAGACTTGTATCCTAAATGCTGTGGTATTTTCACTGGAACAGAGCTCCACAGGCTCTATTTGGGGTGAGTTAATTGGGAAGGTGCTTTAAAAAAATTAAATAGAGTATAATTAATCGGCTGTAATAAGCATTTGCCTGACAATTAAGACTCTGTACATCTATGTCCTTTGTTGTTGCTGTTTATTTTCTGAATATTTTGGCTAATTGTGGCTTTGACTTGCAACCCTTGCTTGTGGTGACTCATTCATATTCACCAGAGTAATATATTTTTATTGTTGTATCTGACATGGTGACAGTTTCAGGCTTGCACCTGATCATTATAGAAGGCAGTGGTGTAATGTATCTGGTTTCAAGGCTCCTCTATGGGAGTTAGTGCACAGTAAGCTATGATGAGAATTTGCTAACTCCATGGTGTAGCTGTTTAGATGCTTTCATACCTGCAAGGTAGTGTAGGCTACTTTGCAGCAGGATACCTTGCACGAAGGCACTGGTGGCTCAGGAGTACCCACACTGAGAACTGGTGAAGGATAGCTAATCCATTGCTAACTTGGACTGTAGCTTACTGCATATTAACTTTCCCATGCGGACCAGCGCCTGGTGAAGTACCCAAATGGATGAGAATTTTAATCCATCACCACACTAGTGAGCATAAATGCCTTTATGCCTACAGATACATGTTCCTTCTGTGTTTGATATAAATATACTTGGTTAGTGCAAAAGCAATTATAATGTTGCACATAGATAGCCTCCTGTTCTTTTTATTATAAATGGTGTATAAGAAGCCTAATCAGGAAAAATAGTCATGTAATATTTCTATCATATTTTGTGTTTTTGCAGTGAGAGAAAAACGCAAGAGTCTCTATATAAACCACGTAAGTGAAAATGCCTCGCTATGCAGCTTTCTCCTTGTTGTCTATATTATACAGTAAATAAGAGTTATCACACATGACTTCCATATTGGTGAGAGGATGCTGATGCTTCAAATGTCTATTCTGCATCAGGATCCAGAAGTATAGGTGTTGGCTATTGAGTTAGTGGAATGGATCTGTTGAAGACAGTATCATGCTCACAACCAGTGTACATAGGTAACTGGTACCTGGGACAAAGAGTTGCACACATTAGTATGATTTTAAAAATTATTACAAAAACTCTCAAAACTTGAAATTACATTTGTTTGCAAGTTTGCTTTGGCAGAGAGCTGCAGCATTTGATATTTACACAGAAGTTCTGAAGTGCCTGACCAGTGTTAATGCAATGTAAATGTGAATTCACGTGTATACATGCTGAGTATGAAGATGGGGTTTTGAAACTCTTGTGTACCCCAGGCATTTTTCAGTTCTCTTCTGTTTGAATCAAATTCTTGGTGAAGCTGAGAGCAAATCCGCTGTAGCCTGCTTTGGGTACAGGACCAGGCTCTTTGCCCCAGTTAGTGTTGTTTGTACTACTGAAGCACCTGGAACCAATGTGTTTCCCAGCAGGTTAAGCCTTGTGCTGAAATATCTGGAGTCATGCCCCAGTAGAATTGAAGAGGGAAAGAACTAATTGTCTCCCAAAAGGTAATTGGTTTTAGGGTGAAATGAAATGGGGAGAAGTTCTCAAACTTTTCTGTATCTGGAAATATAGGCCATCATTTCATGAATCATTTTTAAGCCACTGCAGTAACTGAAAGAAACAGATGCGGTTTATAGCCTCTGCATCCCTTTGTGCAGCTCCAGGTAAACTGGACTGGGGCATGATTGCAGGTAGATTCAGCAGGGTTAAAAGCTAAGATGGATCTGCTCCTGAATGTGATTCGCTTCAGGGCTTGCACCTGCAGAAAGGGAGAGAGACACAGAGGCAGGAATGAGGCGCTGAGTGGGGTGAGAAGGCAAACTGCTTTATTTGTTGGCAGAACTGGTTTGTGCTGAGTGTTTCTGAAACTACTGCCTCGCTTCAAAAACAAGCTGAGATTTTCAATTTCCCGGGGGGTTGAGACTTTGAGAAGTCATGAGGTACTGTGAGGCTTATAAAAGCCTTAAAGTTGGCTCCACCAGGTTAGCAGATACTCTTGGTGGTTCTCACCTTCAGTTCCCCTGTAAAACATTTCCATTGTTTACAGTGCATGTGAGGGTGGTTTGCAGTGCAATTGTATTGTTATAAAATTACTTGTAAAGCTAGTGCACTGGGTTCCTGTAAACTTAATAATGTGTACTCAGTAACTTCCAGCATGCTTTTTAGCCTCAAGCTTGGAGGGTTCAGTGCAAAAAAAAGAATATTTAGACACTGCAAAGCAAGGTATTAACTGCGTTTCTGTGACAGTCCACCTTGTGTCATGGGTTAAATTCTCACGTGTCCTGAATCATTTCATGTCATGTAAAAGATGTGTTCTGCATTAAGGCCGACTGCAAGCGGATTCCTCTAGCAGATTGAACAAAGATGACTACTACAAATGCTGCTGGAAGCACACTGTTGCAAACCCTGGTATAAAATATTTTTAGGCAATGCTGAACTTGTTGCAGAAAAGGGAAGGGTGATTATGTCACTGAGGAGTTGTGGTGTTGGTAGCTCAATGTAGGTGCTTATGCAGTTGATACCCTAAGCACTATACCTCATCAGAATTTCTTGGGTTTTTTTGTCAAATATCGTTCAAAGCATTGGCTAAGGTTGCAGCAATGTAAACTTCCCTCAGTAGTCTGGTCTACTGCTCCCTTAAGTCTGACTTCTTTGTACTTATAAAGTACTTCTTCTGAATTGCAAAGCTAAAAATAACCTTTCGCAAACTGAAGTCCTTACCATGGCTTTCTCTGTGTGTGTCCTTACAAGTCAGTGAAGTTTTTTAGTCAATACTTATAGATAAGCTACATTTTCAAATGTGGCCTGTGATATTCAAGTTGTTACTTCAGCACACCTGTGAGTATTCATTTAGCACCTCCTAAATATTCAATCTGCTAAAGCTGACGCACAAACTGGTGATCATTTTTGAAGTGGTTGCGGTGGCCTTTAACTGGCAACTGTGTTTAGTTTTGTAGACTGCAGGGAGCCATCATAATTTTCCTAGACTGCCTTGTTTGAAGAGGTTTGAGGAGATAGTTAAGAGTTAACAATTGTATGTGACAAATGATGGGTGGTCTTTACATGACAAGCGAATTTATGGTATACCCTGTTGGCTGATCAGCCCCTTTCCATCATTTTTCAGTGTGCTCTAAGTGCGTTTCTAACAGGAGCTACTGCTACTCATCTGTTTCCCTGTTTTTGTGAAGTGCTGGGTCTCCACATCTGCTCTGGAGGAAACAAGCCAGAGGACATAAATTTTGGAGTGTTGTTTTGTCTTCTTTTTAAAAGAACTCCTTGCCATAATGCAGCACTCTTCTCTTTTGTGGTTTTTCCATAACGTCATCTTTTATTTTTTTTTTCTTTTACAAGTCTTTTATACTTACTCTCTTTTTGTGACAAATAACCAAGATGTGCAACAAAATATTTTTATCCTTTTGTGGAGTATCTTATTCATTATTTTGCAGGCAGAGTTGAACATCTCCCAAGTGATCGAGGTGGCTGGCTAGCAAGAGAAGTATCAAGAAAAACTTAGTAGTTTATACGAATAGTTTCAAAATGTTACCTATGAAAAAAATAATTAATATTGACTCTGCATCATTTGAGAATGTAGTTGGTCAGTATGATCACACCATTGTTCTTTCCCTTTCTTGCTTGCTTTTCTTTGTAGAATATTTTAATTGGCTGAATAATTTCCTTTATCCCAAATAAAAATAATGGATTCCTGCTTTGATTTATTGCACTTTATCAAGGGCTGGCAGTTGCCACATTTCAGATTCACCTTGTCAGTAGGCATGATGGAAGAAGTCAGCAGCTGTTCCTTTTTTTGGGAGGTGAGGAAGGCAAGGGAGGAAGGAATGAAAGTAGGGGGTGACAGGGTGCTATCGAGAAGCCATCATCTCTCAGTCTTCCCACAGAGCCCAGGGAGACAGACGACAGGTTGGGAATGGTGCTGGATCCTTTGCATCCTTGTTGGTGCTGGAAGTTACCTACCTACAGTGTACGTGGTGTGTTTGCTTTCTTCCAGCCTATTTTAATTTCTTAAGTAGTTGCAGCAGACTCTACTTCCCCTTCCCGTTTAACTGACAGTTTTTTTTTGTTATGGCTTTAATGCTGCTTCAGTGTGCACTTGTCTTTTCTTTTAATCTGCTTAGTCAAGCTGCTGAGGGGGATAAAGATGCAGACTGAGATAGAGGCGTTTCCTTCTTCAGAGAGGAGAGATTGCGTCAATATCTCTGCCTGTGCAAGGAAAGCAAACAGGAAGACATGTTTTATGGGGTTGGGGGGGGGTGAAGAAAGAGTGAATTTTTTATTATTGTTTGCAGTAGCTAGTTCTTTGTACCGGGTGATTATTTTTTTGCAGAGGAAGGGAGCAGAGCTGGGGAGGGAAAAGTTGTTTTCTCCATCAAGTTTTTTCTAGAAATTTTCCCTTTCAGACAAGATGAAAATAGTTCTGTTTTGGCTCTGTTTGCCAAAGTACTTTCTTCTCTTCTTGACAAGATACGCTCCTAAAGTTGAATCTGTGTTCATGAGCAGTAATATCCAGTAAAAATAAGGTATATTTTTTGCATAATGGAATATTTCTGAAGGAAGATAAAGGGAAGGAAAAGGGAAGGAAGATAAAGGGAAGTAATATCTCTCTTCCACTTTTTTTTTATTTATTCTGGAGACACTTCATCAGCCTTGTAGCAATAGCTTCCTTTCAGCATCGTCTTATTTAGGGCTTATTTAGGGCTTATTTAGGACATGGCTTCCACTGTCTGCTACATGGCAAATGGATGTCCATATCGCAGCAGACTATTACTATTTTTATCATTCCAAGTAGAAAAACTGAAATCTGTGCGTGGACCAAAATTTTTTCAGCATCCTGGGGAAAAGTTCCTGGGCATCATTTGTGTCAGAACCCTGGGCCCTGTACGTGACCCTGTAGTGATTCACATCAGGGGAAGCGTCTTCCCAGTCCTGCTGATGGGGACGAGTGGAGAACAGAGATGTCCTTTGCTGTACATGGTGTGGCACAAGCAATTTCTGTGAGCCTTTTTGCATGCTTGAAGTGATGTATGGTATTTGCTGCTGTGTAGCCCTCAAATTTTCTTGTCAGATTGGATAAAGAGGCTGTTCTGCTTCCCTGTTGTAAAACTCCTAGGCATATGAGTGGTAATGAAACACTTTCAGCTAGTGATTATAAGTAAATAAGATACATGCTGAAAATGGGAACATAGTCTGAAAAGTCGTTTAATCCATGAAAAATGCAAAGCACAACATAAAATGTGAAATGTTGTTTTTAAGTGTACTGCCTGAGGCTGCCTATTGTAGGTTTATAATTGCTGTCCAGATTCCTTAAGGCATTTTAATTAACATTCCTTATTCAAAAAGAAGAACAAGATGAACTGGAAGATAGATTAGAGGCTTCTCAGGCGCTCTTGAAGCTCTCATAGAGATTGCTTAATGTGGTCTTTGCTCCTCTCCATTGCAAGATCATGAAAAAACAGGTCTAGAGGGGGCCTTTATAGGCTATCTGGCCCATCTAGCAGATTCCCTATACTAATGCCATTCCTAACATATGCTGTTTAAGATGCTTTTTCAGGCTTCCAATAAGTTAGAATGAACAGGCTTTCTTTAATGGCTTACCTAAACTTACTGTTTGAAATGTTTTTTTTCTAATATCTTTCAGCCCCTTACTTCTTTGCCTGTCTTCTGGGGTGAAGAATTTTACCTCTCCTGTCAGCCTCAAGGCAGTAAGTTATATGAAATGACAAACTTTTGTAGGAGGAGGAACAAAAAATAACTTTTAAGGTAGAATGAGAACACACCCGAGAGTTCTTTTACAAGGTTGCTATACAATACTTGTGTGCTGGGAGCCTAGTAAAGTTCCTCTGGTCAAATTGCACAACACTAGCAATTATACGCTATGTAAATATAAGCCTTTGAGGTGCTTTTAGTGTTCAAAAAAATATTTAATCTTTCATATTTGTAAAGCAGGGCGCTTTATCAGCAGTTAAATAGGACCTGTGTGTGCTGCAGAAGAGCTTACTAATGGTAGCTGAGCCCCTCAAGAGCTCACTGGTACGCTGATGTCATTTTCTATAGTTGACATGAGTAAGGGCAAGCTTTGAGAGCAAAAAACTTGCAAGTACAGATCTAGTCTAGCGCATCAGTTTTGGACATTATCAAATGATGGTGAAACCAATCAGCTGAGGACAAGGTTGAATCATGTTGTTGACCGATGAGGTACAATGGATATTAAGAGTGGTTGGACTAGATCTCTTTTTTGTGGTAGATGTTGGCAAAGAAGGGTAAGCATACAATGGTGCAGTTTGCTGTAGCTTTTGTTCAGGTGAATATACCCATATCTAGCCACTAAGTGTAGAGAATTGTGCTGTAGTATCAAATTATGGAAGATGAAAATGAATGTAGAGCTTTGCAGAGCTATGCAGAGAATTGTGTTGCATGGTTTGCTTGATTTTGGAAGCACTTTGTTGACCTGTAAAATCATGTTTCTTCTGTGAAAAATGTCAGAACTAAATCATGTCCTGAAGCAATAGAAGATCCCCAAGATAGGAACCTCCCTTTTCCAAGTCAGAAGCAGTCCTGGTATTTTTGCTTGCTGTTGTAGTTTGGCTTCATGTGTACTTCTGCATGCCAGTTTTGCCTATTAGCATTTTGGCCAGCCTCTACTGCCTGGAAGTTAACGGGCATGTGTCCACAGATGGGTGCAAGCATGCCTCAATTTTTCCATGGGGGAAAGTACTGTTTAATAGTACCTTTTAAAATCATGCAGTAACTTACACCTGGTTTGATGGAAGAAGAGACAGTACTATCATTATTTAGGACAGGAACTGCAAATTGTCTTTTGATGGACAGATGCAAAAGAACACTGAAAAAGGCTGAAGCTCCTCTGCTGAACTGGAAGCTGGCTGAAGGCCAGCTCTGGTACAGAAGCTGTATAGCTTCATTAGGGAAGTGTTGCACCCAAATGAACAAATCCTGCTGAGCATCAGGGCAGGGTGCCATACTAGTGTTGCTAAAGAGCTGCCAGGACAGAGCTGGCTGGTGCCCATTCTGGTCAATTCTGAGTGTGGGTTTTGGTCAGTATGCACCTGTCTGTTAGATGTTTCTACCCAGAAACACCCTGAAATGAATGTTTTAACAAAAGAAATAGTAACACTTCCCCTTTCTCCACAAATAGAGGTTTAATTTCCGAGTGATGCTGAAATGAAGGCTGAGAGAAATTAGTCCTTTTGTGTATTCTTATTTTGAATGTTAAGAATTTGTTGTGATTCCTTTCATAGTAGGTACATAGAAGCAGTTCTGCAGAGCTTGTATGATTCTGATGGCAAACGAAACCATTATATTTCTGATAAGATGTATTTTATGTAAACTTCAAGTAAATCCTATTGTTCAAACGTCTTAAAACAAACATGATTTGGAAAGTTGAAAAGTTTCAGGATGAAACTGGAAGAAAAATAAAGCAGTGATATTTCCTTAGTACTAACTGTGCAAGAGGGAAAAACTGCTGGTTTTAAGAGCTAGAAACACCTGGCATTAATGGAAGTACATTGAATCTTGATCTCTTAGAACTTGTTCTGTAACACATGTAAAAGCTTGGCAAGTTGTAAAGCAATTTTTTCCGTTATACATCTTTTCCTGTAAGAAAGAACTTCCACAAAACAGCTATTATGTATTCATTGTAACCCATAATATCAGCATTTCTTAATGAGCGCCTTTGATTGAAATGAGAAAAATAACAACTGCTTCTAGAGTAAAGCGCTACAAATCCTCTCCACCAAAATGGAGAGACAAATCTATCATGAAATGATAGAAAATTGGTCCAGAATACATCTCAGGAGGTTGTTCACTCTGGTTTCTTGCCTAAGAGCAGAATCCTGCGTCTACACTATTCATGGTATATGTTTGTTTTACCTCTTCTTTAGAACTTTCAGTGATGGAGAGTCTATCACTGCTCAAGTCACTCAAGCTATCCCTGCTATTAGAAAAAGGTGGTGGCTTGGGGTTTATTTTTTTTTGCCATCACATCCTCTCACACTTTCATGTCCAATCTTAATTTTCCCTAGTTCAATATAAGCCTGCTCTTTCTTACCCCATCCACAATGGTCATGGAGAGCAGTGTTCTCTTCTTTGGAACTCCCTTCAGTGGGACTTAAGGCCATTATTGTTGCTTTGTTCCTGGAGAAAAGCTCTCCAGTCCTTCTGTTTTTCCTTCTAAGTCAGGTTTTTCAAACCTCTGATATATCTTGCTGATCTCTCCTCCTGACACTCTGAAATCAATTCACCTTTCTTGAAACACAGTGGTCAAAATTGGACATAAAATTCCAGTTGAGCAGAGTGGAAGGGTGCTCTACACTGTTGTATACATGGTAACTCTATAAATCCTGTATGATGTTTTCCTTTTTTTATAAGAGTCCTCTGAAAGGTAACGTCAGCTGCAAAAATACCTTGATTCTGTTATCAAAGTTAGTGCTCAGTGTTTTACATTGAGTAGACCAGACCTCCGTGGAATGTCCCTTACTTCGACCTTCCAATTTGAAAGTGATCCCTGGGTAACCAGAATATAGTTTTCCAAGCAGTTTATACCTGCCATGTTTTCCTTGTTTTGCCCTTTGGGAATTTTATGCGAGGTGAAGTCAGAAGTCTTGCTGAAGTTGAGAAGCATGACATCTACTGAATCTCGGCTTGGGAACAAAAATATTGCTAATGCAAGTTAAAGTACGTATAAAGTGAATCGCACTTCATATCAATAAGGTGCTTTTAATTTACAACTATTTGTAATAGCAGAGACTGTCTAGGCTCCACGTGTGTCCTATGCGCGCTCTCATGTTTGCATATGAAGATTTACAAAAGAAGCTATGCCTGTCCTTTCTTTCCCCCGTGTCAACCTTAATGGTGGAACAGAAACTGAGAAAGATCCCGTTAATGTTAGAGGGTTTGGCTAATTTCTTCAAAGGCTCTATATTCTTTCTCAGCTCTTCTGATTTGTCTCGCTTAGAGCCTCTCTGGCTTGTCTAATGGAAGATTGTTGTGGTCAGCCGTGATGGATTTGAAATGTGAAGGCATTAAGCTCCTATGCAGTTTTGAGTGTGGATTTATCCCATTGAAACGGGCACAGAAGGGGGTTTCTTTGTAGGAGGGTGCTGAATAGTGAGGAGATGCTCAGTAACCTCTTTTGTCCTTCACAAGGATGGAGAAGGTTCCTGTGCAGCATTTTATGGAGGTTCAGAAGAGCGTGTTTGAGTGAACTGCAGGACTTTAGATGTCTTCCAGCTTAGTTGAGCTAGAATATGAAACTGAGAGTGTTTTCCAGTAATTTGGAAAGGGCAGAAAATCTGTTACCTGGCATACCATATTGCTGCAGTTGGATATCAGAGTAGAAACCAGGAATGTTGATCTGCCGATAGGTTAGTTATTCACATGGCACAAATGTGTATACATACCCAAGATAGTGGGTTTACAGTTGGCTTTATTCTTCAGACTGGGAGAGGTACCCCTTCCTGCCAAGTTGTTATGAACAGAAAGTGAGGCATGAGACACCACATATTTTTCTGAAGTGTGAAAAGTTCTAAGCCTAACGAAGTGTGATGTGGGCTGAAAACCGTGGAGAATTCTGTGATGTGGTAGTTTCAGAAATGAGGTGCGTGGCTCTAATTATTGACATGTATCAAATGTTAGAGTGCTGTTTACATAAGAAAATTTAACTCTGATAGTGGTGTTGCTACAGGATTGTTTTCTGTTTTTTACTTGTGCTTGCCTTGAATGAATCCAGTCCATTTATCTTAAATTTTATCTAAACCTTTAAAACATGTTGACACAGAAAAAGTAGAATTGAAACTTTCCATGTGCTTTTTTTTTTTTTAAAGTGATGCTGAAATGTCTGTACCTCTCCCTTTTTTTCAACCATTAAACTGTCTCAATTTCAGCAGGTTTTAAGTTGCTTTGCCTTTATCATGCCTGTGGAAGGTACTCAACAGACTAATCCAGAAATTTGAACTAAACTGTGGTAGAATAAAAGCTATAAATCACCAGTCCTCCAGCAATTCTGGCTCTGTACATCAGTGCTGGATAACACATTTTATGGCATTAATGCTTCCAGTGCTTCTAAATTTTCGGTTTGTTGACTTGCTTAACACATGATAGCTTGGAAGACAGGTGAATTGTGAACTTCCAAAGTATTACAAACTACCTTTCCAAACTCCTGGAGAATTTTTGAGAGGGGATAATTTTCATTTTCTCAGTAAACTTTTTCACTTCCAAGAAAAGCAGTTCAACCTATGAGTTTATTGGTCAAGTGAGGCACCTTGATGGAATTTGTTGGTGAGCTTTCAAGTAACTTGAACATAATATTTCTACAATTGTAACAGCTTCAGAAATTTTTTTTTTTTCAATTAACAGAAGACTTTGAATGCTCTTTCACTCATATCTGGGAAAAATAGAAGGATGACTCAGACACATGTAGGTTTTTACCAGGAGTCTATCTGTTCTCTATCTAATGAAAGCTGCTAAGTCTGCTGCCTGTGGAAAATGAAACATTAGAGAGATGATGGAATGCTGGCACTTGTAATAATATCTGTTTTGGAAATTAGGCAGGGGAAGATGTACTGAGGTAGGAGTCACAGGACCGTAGCCTAGATACTCAGTTGCTCTGAGCTGGTAAATGCCTGTGGATTCCACTGATGGTATTGACATTGGTGTCTCGACTGAAACACTGGAAACAACACTCATTGTAAGGCAAATTAAAATTTCCCTGTCGATGTGCCAACGGAATTTTAAACCTATTCTGTTCTAAGTTAAACATGTAATTTGACTGGTCTTAACTTTCCTGACACAGGTTCTTGGTCAAGTTATTCACTGCTGTAGGTAGAATAGGCAACGATAAAATCAAAGAGCATTAATGACTGTGATCCCTATTAGCTGATATGATGGAACTATTCTCTTTAGGCCAGTGGAGTGCTGGCTGCTCTAAACAGCTGAATGAGAAGCCCTCTTGACAAAAAAAAATCTTCAGAAATAAGCAGTGTTGTCAAATGTAATTTTGTGGCTGAGCTTTCCAATGTTTTCCTACGGTAGTGCAGAAATAGGATTGAAATATGTTGAAAACTTTTTTCTATTAAGAGATACATTTCTTTTTAATTTGCATATCGACTTTCACATCTGTTGACCAATTTTCTTGCTGTCTAATAATAATCTATTCTTGATGAATTAGTTTTTCTGAATTTTCTCTATTAATTTTTAGAGGTTTTAGTAGTTTTACTGTAAAGATCTCTTTCCCCTACTTTATTTTGTTAGGGCTTGTTTGGGTTTGTTTGGTTGGTTTGTTGTTTTTTTTTTTTAAATTCTCTTTTCTCCAGGCATGGTTTTGTATCTGTTTCTAATTCAGTCTTCACTGTTAATGATTTCTTTTTCACTCTTCCACTTACTCTTTTGGAATGAAGACAGAAACATAGGTCTTGTTCATCTTTGCTTTCCAAATGTATGTATATATTTGAGTAATTCTGCACAAAAATTTTTGCATGGTTTTGGGGAAGCAGGGACAGAGGGAAGATTTGGACTTGAAAGCATTAGTCAAGGCTCATGCAGGGATTGTTGTGACTTTTGCACTGGCAATTATTTCTGAACTTTCTGAACTGCTTCAAAACATGATCACATTACTGTGTGCGTCACTGTGAGAGACAGAGAAATTTGTTTTTTTCTAAATTCTAACAGCTCCTCAGAAAAGTGCTTTGGTATTACATAATTGCCATTGTTCTTTTACGTGTTTTTCATAGCATCCTCCTGGGCAGTTGAGAAGGAAGTACAGTTCCTGTTCCACTATTTTCCTGGATGACAGCACAGTCAGTCAACCAAACCTCAAGTATACCATCAAATGGTGGGTTTTATAATTACTTTTTTTGCTAGAAACTACATTTTATATATATAGGTATTTATGTATACATATTTCTGAACTATTACTAAGCAAACTTTAAAGGTTTTAGTTTTTGAAGTAGTACATTTATTTAATCCAATCATGCTCCAGAGGCAGTGAATAGGATGAGCAAAGGATATTACTCTTATTTTAGGTCTGTGCAGAGTCAACCTCCCAGTACTGCATATCTCAACAGAAAGCAGCAGTTAAGGATCTCAGATTGCAGCAGCTGAAATCCTTGTGCTTCAGTGTTCAACTGGGTACTTGCTTTGGATGAGTCCTGAAAACTTACTTGGGTACTTGTTTATTCAGAACTTCAGAATTCTCTGAAATTGAAGAGCTCTTTTCTGTTCATGAGAAAATTCTCATTTGCTAAGCTTTCCTTCCAGTTTTCTGTTTGAAATGGAAACTAATTGTCTCCAGATTAATTTCCTTATTGAGTGCAGGGGCACTGGCAGTTTATTACAAGGCAGTGGGGAGCTTTGTATGTGATACACACATGGGCTTGCCCTTGGGTGATGTCTCGTGGTTATTTCAGGTTTCACTGGTGCCTTTTTACATTTGGAGAGAAATGAAATTGATATTTATTGTTATTTGCATTTTGTTCAGTAAGGGAGAAAAAAATGAGAGGACAAATGCTCAGGCATTTTGAGCTGTTTGTTTATTGTGATTGCTGATATACTCTCTTGAGTTGTTTGTAGGATGGTTACCTTGGTGTACTCAAATGCAAAAATTTATAAAGACAAAATCTGTGCTGCAGAGATACTTACATAAGAGACAAATATATTCAGACTAACATGTTCAAAGGAGTTTGTAATGTTGGCGGTCACTAAAACATCTTCCTAATTTTAATGTTTAAGGGAAAAAGAGGGGAGTAGAGAAGGGATTTGCAGTCAGACTGACACCTAGTTCCTCATCGGCTATTTCTGACTGAAACGTAGTCTTCCTTTTCCTCAAGTTTCTTTTAATTAGTAACTTAAAAATAAATCAGATGAACATCAGAAAAAGGTTTTTTGAGTGTGGGTTTGTGGTTTGGCTTTTTTGGTCCTGGAATCTCATACTATTCTACTTTAAAATCCCTTGCATGTGGATTTTTGCAAGTGCAGCCTTTTCAGTGGGCTTTGGGTCCCTTTTTGCCTCAGAACTGAGACTGCTCGTGGAAAGAAGAGATGGGTTCAGTTGGCTGCAGCAACCGAGAAGCTTTTTCAGCAGGCGAGCAACAGTCTTGTGAAAGAGGAGACAGAAAGACAAGCTGCGGGGCGAGCAGGGTGGTGGCATTTGGGAGAGACTTGGGGTGTGTGGTGAGGGGCAGAGCTGTGGGGAGAAGAGGGTACATGTCAGGCTGGAAGAGCCGGCGCTGGGACCAGGTGGGAGGTGTTGTGTAGGGCTGGGGCCAGACTGCTGGCATGGGAAGGGTTGGAAACTGCAAGGGGTCAGAGGGTTTGAAAAGGAGTTACGTGAGGTGAGAAACTGGACTCTGGCATGTAAGGCCTCTGGGTGAGGTTTCTTTTCCTCCTCTCCTGTTTGGCTGCACATTTAGTAGATTTAAGGGTGGAGAGATTACAGGATTATTGCTTTTGTAGTACAACTTCGTTTCTTGCCCCTGTCCTGGCAGTCTCTGCAAATAAGTGACTGTTGCACCTAGGTAAATCTATGAGGGATGTATTTTGGCCAGCTCATTTATTTCTTCTGGGTCATGTTACGCCCTGGTATGTTTAAAGTATTAGTGCATCTACTGGAGATCTGCAGCATCAGTGGGGTGGCCAGGGTAGGGTGATGGAGAGCTCCATAACCTTCTTTCCTGCACACTGAGAACCAGCGTATGAAAAGCAGAATGAAACTTGGATCTGAGTTAATCTTGTACAGCTCTGGAAGACTGACAGATTCTGATATGGATTTCTAAATAGTAAATATTTTCTGAACTTAATTTGACATTTTGTTACAAAAGCAAACATATGGGCACCAAGCACAGCTCTGCACATGGATTCTTGCATCTGCTTTCATAAAGTGAACTGGAGCTGCAAGTGTGTTCCTAGGGGCATAATTTAAAATTAAATTTTAGGACCAATTCATTTTGTGACTGGCTTTCAGTCAAACTAAATCCATTCATAAATGTGTCTTTTGTGTTCAGTGGGGACTGTGTCCTTTAAATGTCCACAATACACAGTCTCTCTTAATTCCTTAAATATGTATATATAGGAAAAATAAAATTTAAAAGGCATTTCTGATCTAAAAACTTCTCATGCAGCCAGGTAAAAGCTATAATGTTCATACAAAGTTAGTAAAATACATTTACTCTCAACTAAGAAAAAATATTTTCCACTACATGGATGTTCAAAAGAAAAATCCCACAACCAAAAGCTGAAATAATTTAAAATTCTACTAACAAGGTAGTTCCAACATACTGTTTTCGTAACACACAGTGTGTCAGTTTTCATGTAAAAATTCTGGAATAAAATTACAGAGCAACCAATTGACTCTTTTTAAAAGCCTTTTATGGAAAAGAAAATGGGAGGAATTTTGCATCAGTATGAAACATAAACATCTTACAGTGAATCATTGACAAGACAAATTGTCAACAAATAGGATCAGTGAACTCCTTCCTCCTTCCCCTTTAGCTTTGACTGGGTTTTATGCTGCTGGAACAAGTGGGGAGGGTGCTGGTTCTGCTTTATCCTTCAATAAAGCTCTATCATGAGTAAAGCATGTGTCCTTTGATAAAGCTGGAATCATGAGTTGGAAACTGGAGAATAACCATGAGAAGCCATGTCTTAATTTTCTTCACTCTCAAATGTGAATGAGATCAGTTAGTTGTATAAATAATTAAAATCTTAGCTTTCTGTGAATATAAGGACACTTTTTGTCTTTGCGCAGAATATAAACAGAGGTACCTTGGTGTGTGGTTGAGAACATGGGAAATGCATAATGCAGTAAGTTATTCAGGGAATTGTCTTTCCTGACTTAAAATAAGTAACTTGATGCCAGAAAACTGTAGGAGCCTGGTAGTGGAGGCTGGTATGTGAGTAGCTACGTAGGAAGACAGCCAAAAGTTAGTAGATTTAAATGTAAAAGTATAAGCCAGTGGTGAATAAAACATTTCATGTTAGCCTGGCAGCATTAGCAAACAATGAAAGAGAATGTTCCACGCCTGTGATGCTTTCTCTTCAACCTTGGAAGTCAGTAGGAGTTTTATCATTGACTTTAGTGGAGTGGGGCATTAAATAGAAGGTATGTGCAACTTGGTGTGTGGAATATCAGTATTTTAGTAAGGTACTTCATTACTAGTGAAAGGGAGGCATTTGGAGTGTGCTGAACAAATGTTATAAAATGGTCTGTTTACAGCAGTTTTCCTGGTGTCTAACAGTGAACAGAAGAAAACAGGCTGCTGAGCATACTTTTTGTCATGCATTGTGCTAGGTTTTAAATGTACGTGTTAATATGACAAATAATATAATTTGACAGTCCCAAGATACTAACTCTGTATTTTTCTTTACAGTGTAGCTCTTGCAATATATTACCACATCAAAAACAGGTATGTGAATAATGAAATCTTGTACTGAAGATACTTTTAATCAAAACAAATGAACTGCCCAAACCCTAAAAATCTGTGCTCTTTCAAAATGTTTTTGTGTAGTAGTTTTCTAGTTTCCCATGCTAGAAATGAGAAACATATTCTTTTGTATTTTTACATATATTATTTTGCTTAGAAAAATAAAAATTAGAGGATTATGTACCATAAAAATCTGAAAGTACAGTTCAGCACTGAAAAACTTTAATGATTCAGTGTTTGGTTTTTTGTGCATTGGGCGCTTCGGCATTGTTGCGTAAGTTGCAATCACATATAAAGAAATCTGAATAGTGTCTTTCAGATTTTATTTTTTTTTAGCTACACCTTTGTAAAGTTAACTGTGAAAATCAATGATCAGTTAATGTTAATGGATTTTGAAACAAAAACCATTAATTATATAGTAAGAGTGACATTGTGAATAGATGTAATTCAAGATGCCTCAGAAACAGAGCAGGTCCTAGCTTATCTCTTCTGGTGTAGTATGTTTTAGATCTCTGCTCAGTCAAGTTGATTGAAATTGAATAGAAAAGAGGTTCTCTAAAAAGTAACTTGGTACATAAATTAACTTTCTTCATGTTGAATTGTGCTTTTGTATCTTAAATTCCCAGTCCTCATGATATGTCACAGTATCAAAATAATATGTCCTGACATTTCTAAGGAGAGATTGTATGAATACTTTAAGTGACTTTTGTGTCCATGGCTTTTCAATGTGTCTTTTCAGAGAACTTGGCTTAGATCTCGATCTAACAAGCCACTTACATGTTTTTTCTTCTGGACTGTAAGAAGTCCGGCCAGAACAAAAGGAGTTACTCATAAGTTTAAAGTTAAGCTGGTACGTCATTCGGGACTGTATTTCAGGTCACTGGAATCCATCACACTTGTTGAAACAAGGCTGACATCTAAACAGAAACTTTTAGAAGTACACAAGGGCAAAAAGGCTTAGGGCTTGATCCTTCCTGAAAGCTCTTAGAAGCTTTTCCAAGATGTCAGTGGTCCTTGGACTGAAACATGGCGATATGTAAAGCAAAAGTTGGAGTGAGATCTTCTTGCAAACTTTTAGTCTCATTTCCCAGAAAATGAGGCATTGGTGATAATGCTTGGATTGCTTGTTTTTCCATCTGTGGTTCCCTTTTTCCCCTTTCCTCCATCGTACCTGGGTTAGTTTGGCTAACTAGTCAATTTTTACTATGCTTGACTAAATAATAGAGATCTCAGAGATAATCAGACTCTAAAGTTTTGTGAAAATAAGTTATTCTTAAGTGCTCTGTTAAGTATCATGCCAGCTGAGTTTTACTCAGCTTAAAAGGCTCAGGAGAATGGGGCACATTAGGGACTACAAAGGATGAGAAACTTTGGGAAGTGCTTACAGTTGAGCAGGAGGAATCCAGAGCCAAAGAACACTGGACTCTCTTCCTGCCGATTGCCATGGAGCTGACTTCTGTGTGCAGTAAAATATGTCCATTCGTAGTCTTGCAGAACTTGATGCAAATTTGACCTCCAGTTAGTAGACAGAGAAGCTAAACCTTTATAAAATAAAGATTCCCATGGCAGTATCTTGAAAACAAATACATTCCAAATGTTATCTTCTTGGGATATTGCTGTCTGTCCTTTTACTTTTGGGATGGAGAGGTGATTTATTCAGGCAGAACTGGTTGCTGCTTTTCCCTCCTGAAGCTGCCAGCGGTGTGCCCTCTGCCTCGCTCGGCACAGATGGCCTCAGCAGTGATGCTGGAGCAGCCGCGTGTACATCAATTAACGACTCTGAAATGAAGGATGTGAAATGGCTGTTCTGTCTTTGGTTGTCTCTGATTTGGGAACGGAGGGGACGATGTGATAACAGCATTCAGTTGCACTTGCTGCTGAAACAGCAATAGCAAAACATATGTTCTATTTCCTGCCTTTATAGGTGAAAAGGAAGTTGTTGACGTATGTGGTAGATTTTGGTTCATTATGAGGGGTGGGGAGTAAGAAACCACTGTAACCCTTTATATAAACTCATGGTTGATTTTGACAGAAAATGAGTCAAGCATCTGCTTTGCCAGAGAAGAATTCTTTTCAGATAGTATTTAATTGTTCCTTTTTTCCTGCACAATAGGCTTAAAACTAAATTACTTCCTAATATTCCAAACTCTCACCAATCCCAGTTTTTTGAGAAACTATCCATGAAATAGAATATTCCTTCATGTGTTTTCCACATTTCCTTTGATTGTAACATTCTAGTTATCATTTCTTCTTTTCTCAATGTCTCCTATCATTGTTATATTGATTGGCTTTCTGCAGCTTTTGTTGTGCTTAGCTATTCAACAAGTGGTAAAAGACTACACCTGTCTTGTTTTCGGATGAATGCATAAGTATTGGTGAAATTGCTAAATAAATAAACAAAATAAAATAAACCTAGATCAATTAATAGATGCTTCGTTTTTGAAAGATAACAATGTGAATTTGTTATAATGAAGATGAAAACCTATCAACTAATTTTTTTTTTGTGTAATAGATTTCTTGAGGGCAATTAAATGTGCTTTCATAGCATTCAGCAGTTACAGCATGAAAAACTAAAATTAGAAGGTCTTTCTTGCTCTCTTCTCATTGCGAAGAGCCACAGTTAACTGTAGCACATTAGTGATTCCAGTGAGACTACTGCATTAAGATACTAGCTTTTTTGTATAGGGTTGTCACCGTTTAAGGGTTAAAAGAGTCTGGCCAAAAGCCTTGCTGATCAGGAATTTTCTAGTAATTATCTCAATCTTTTTTTTTTGTTTTAATTTAAGTACTCCTACCCCTCCTTTTTTTTTAAGTGTTTATTTCCAGTGTTACCAGGCTTTATAGCAGAAAAAATGTCACCTTCAGATGTTGAGGTTTAAATGTTAGCTGCTAATAAGTACATTTTGTAGTCACGAATCCGCTGTAAAACTTGTGTTTGCATGCTCTGAGAGACACGTGCTGTTGAGTAAAGATAGAACACATATTAATTGGTTTCTCTCTTAAGAACTCTATGACCAGAGTACCAAGGATGCTATAAATAAAGATGGGATTGTAATAAATAGGTCACATGGATGCATCTGTCCAGAAAGTGTCCAGTTCTAACTGGTATTGTTATACCACTCGCTTTTGTGATTGTTAGTGTTCCTGCCAAGATTACACATAGCAAAAATCTTACGTTGCATACTGGATGTTAGGCTTGTGAAGTTGCATCAACTTGCATCTGATCTTGAGCAACAGGGATCTGAGGGAGAAATGGCAAGTAAAACCAATGAATAGGAATATTCTTTTGTGTGAATTTTTTTTTATATACTCCTTTTTGCTTTCAGAAATCATTAGTAGTATAGGGTTTTCCAAATAAATAAAAAGTGAAGTATGTATGTATTAAGTAAAGGAAAACTGTAAAAATACTGTTGCATGTTTGTAAATGCTCACCATGTTGACAATAAAGGAGGAGGAGGAATTAAGAGATTGCAAGGATTAACATGATGAAGTTAAGAAAAGGAAAGCAGGCTGGACTGATTTTATTATAAGTTTAGAATAGTACTTCTTAGGCTGTGAACCTCACAGTAGAGAGCATAAAAGCTGTGTATCTTGGCCATGGGAAGCTGAAAATTTTAGCATACTTTGTGATATGAATTTCATATTAACATGTGAACCTTATGACAGAATAGATCCAAGTTTTATTTGAAAATCACATTTCTGCAGTGTTTCTGAGCACCCCAGAGCATGAGGAGTATTGGAGTTTTAACAATACACTTGTGTCTGAGAGGTGCGTGCTGTCACGTTCAGATAATGACACTACTTTGGTTTTAATACTTTATAGGGACACAGACGGAAGAATGCTCTTAGATATTTTTGATGAAAACCTTCATCCCCTTTCGGTAAGTTCATCTGCCTCTTCTTCCCTTTCATGTGAACTGTCTTTCTGTCTGCTTCGTTTTGTTTCAGTCACCTATTTGGAAGTATTTCTTCCTTAGAAATCCGAAGTGCCACCAGACTATGACAAGCATGACCCGGAGCAGAAACAGATTTACCGCTTTGTTCGGACGTTGTTCAGTGCTGCTCAACTGACTGCTGAATGTGCCATTGTCACCCTGGTGAGTGTCTGAAGGATGACATCAACCATCTGACAGAGCCAGTTTTGTTCTCAAAGCTTGGATTTGTGTGATTTAATAAATCTAGGTGCTACCAGAGAATTTTTTCTCACCATGGAGACCAAGGAAATTTCTTGATGGGAAGAGATACTACAGTTTATTTACTTGGAGAGAGTAGGTGATGGAAGAAGAGATTGGGTAACATGTGACATAAAAGCTGAGGTTACATCTTGCCCTTACAGAGTGATAATGTTACAGGCCACCAAGGTGACTAATAGATAATGCAGGTGGCACAAGTGGTGTGAACAGGAGGGAATGTTAAAAGCAAAAAAGGCTTCCACTTTGGAGGGGGTTGCTGTGTATCATTGTGGCTCCCAGCAGAAACTTAGGAACAGCTGTAGGTAATTTGATAGCACTAATAAGAATTGATGGGCATGTGAAGGATTCAGTGAGTGACTGGGACATGTTGGTGATGACTCTTTTTTACTTGCACTGTACTTGTCTTTCAGGACCACATCATAGGATTGAACAATTGTACTCAAGGCTGAAGTTTAGCTACTTAAAAATAGCACAACACAAAAGAAGGTTCAGATTTTCAGCTGGTGCGGATCAGCATAGCAATGTGGATTAAAGGAGCTAAAGTGATCTCCACCAGTTGAGAATTTCTTAATTTTCCTGAAATTTTTATCCTGTCAACTCTGACAAGCCTCTTCAGCTTTCAGGCACGATTTTGGCCATGTTCTTGACTCACAGATTTTAAAAGAACAAAATGGGTTTTTTACCACTACAACATGTGGTTTTGTAACATCTTTGTTATGCACTTTAGATGGAAGAAGGGGAAATTGGAGAAGGTGGATTTTGAAGCCCAGACCTACTCATTTCCTCTGTTAATCTCTCTTCCTTGGCTTCTAAGTTTAGTTGGCAGGCTTTTCTCCTTCAGACAGTTGGAATGAATTGTACTAGCCAGTACAGAACAGGAATATGAGAGAAATAGGGCAAGAAACACCCTGCAGTGCTCCACCCTTACTTCTTGAAGTATTTCTCTACCTAGTTACTTGACCCAGCCATTACTTGTTTTCTGAAATGACATTTTGTCTATCTCTTTTACATAATTGTACTAAGTACTTGTCCTTTTCCCTTTTCTTCTTAAGTGTTTTCTGCTGGAGGCAAGGTATGTTTTGGGAATCAGTATGCTCTTCTGTAATGTAATTAATCCACTGTCAAATACAGTGGAACTTTGTTGTAGTTATCTGTTGTTTGATCTTAGGTTATTTGATCAATAAGGGCATTGTTTAGTAGAAAGGAAGAGGGCTTTTTTTTAATAACAATATCTTCCTGTTATTGCAATGCATGGAAAGTTCTTCCCCACAAATCTTGTTAACCCAAGCATATATTTCAATATCTTTCATTTGTAACTACTTCCTTGCCTCTTCTGGTTCTCATGTGGTTTCCCTGCAAGTAACACTTTTAGTGTGATCTGCAATGAAGTGTACATGTTTTTAACTCATTTGTTATATTGCAGAAGCAGTTTCCATAGTTGTTAGTGCTTGAAAACTTAGGTGGCTTGGGTTTTTTACCCAGTAGAATGATAACAGATTAACTGTTTTATAACCTAGTTCCCAAAGCAGTCGTGCAGGTGTTTGCAGATAGATTTGGTACAGGTGATCAGCCCTACAGTTCTGCTATTCTTGCCTGTGTTTTCAGGATAATAGCACCTGCCTGACCCCTCTTTCCAGAAAGCTTCAGAGTTTTGGTATGAATGGTGTTTTACAAGTATGACATTCTGCTGTTGCTGTTCTCAGTTTCCTCTGTACTTCAAGATCCCATTTCTTTATTTGTTAGTGTCATCAAGAGGGACCTTAGAGACAGATTGTGTTGTTTCTGAAATGTTCAGATGTGGAAATTAATGTGTTAAAAAGCAATCAACTCTTCCCCCCTCCCCACACTCCTGAAATCTTACTAGGGTTGATATTGCTATTTATGAACCTTCCAAGTGCTTTCAATTTTGATACTCTGTCTGGAGAAGAAGAGAGCAGCATTCCCTGCTGAAGCTTATGTTTTGCCATCCGTCGGAGAGCAATCCAATAGCCCTGCCTGCCACTTGTTCCTTCTGGGAGGGTTGCCAGAAGGCAGGAAGTATATCTGTGGAGATCACAGTACATTTTGAACAAGATGCTACAACTATTATCTTTTTTTCACTCACTTTTTAAACAGTCCTAACCACCCCTTTTTACTGCCCAAATTATTAACATGATCTAAGGTGTGTAGTTGAATGCACTTGCTGTTTGTCTTCTTGCATGCCATTAGGCAGGTAGAAGGAGCAGTTACAACTGGCTATGTAGCAGTCTGTATGTTCAGCACAGGAGCTCAGTAAATGTGAAACTCCAGACTGTTAGATAAGCTATTCTCCAGCAAAAAGGGAGCATTGTGTTGCTTCAAGCACTTAATTAAAATATTTCAATTAAAGCCTCCACTATTACAGCAATACCAATTTATAATTAAACAAAAAATTTAATTTTCACACAGCCTCCAGAGCTGCCAAGAGATTTCCCATACTGTTAGGTGAAAAATTAAAATCTCAGGTTGAAACAATTAAATACTAATTCACATTATTTATTTATAAAATAATACCATAAGGATAAAATTAGTTTTAAGAATTGTGTTGCTGATTTAAAGTCTTGTAAAGTTTTTGTCCCAGTAAAATGCTGAACTATATTCTGTGACCTGACTTTGTGGGAAAAATAATGGACCTGTGTTTCTCCCTCTACCCAGAGTTTTCCCACCCTTGCTAAAACTAGAAATGCCTGTCTCATCTTCACCATCTCCTCAAGTGCAGAGGGGGCAAGTTGTACTTACCTTAATATACTAATTGGATAGCAAATAAAAATGTGAACAGGACTGTTACCCATACCAACAGGAAAACAATACATGAGAATTAAATATTTATGCTTTGTTCTTTTGTTCTGTAAAAACAATCCTATTAACTAGACCTGAAGAGGAGAATGGCCCAAGTTTTCTGCTTTGCCTTGGCATGACTTTTTGAGTTTTTTGCAAATAGGCCAAATCTGAGGGTCCTAATATACTTCTGTGTCTGTAGTAGTTTCAGAGAGGATAACATTTTGCATTTGCAAATAGGCAAATATGCTAGGTCTGTATGCTATAGACTGATCAGATATGGTGATATGTAAAGACATAGAGTACGTGAACTGAATTATTTCTGTGAAGTTCAGAGGAGTGTGATTTTGAAATACGTTACAAAGTTCATACTGTGACTGAGAGGATTTGATACTGGGAAATTTGAAGTTTGAAGTACGTACAAAAAATTCTCCGTATGAAAAACAGGGATCTAATTAATCCAGCCAGATGTTCCTGAGTTATTGTACTCTTCAGTCACATTTTCAGCAACTAGGTAGAGAGAGAATATTGTTGAGCTGTGTTGTGAAAATTACAGTATTTGAGGATAATTTTGTTTTCTGTGTGTTTGGAGGAAAGGAGAAAGCTTTTGATTGATTTCCTTTCACTGAGATATTTTTACTTTTAAATGCTGATAAAACCTCTTCCCCCCCCTCCATATTTCAGTTGAGGTATCAAAAATCTGATACTTGTTTAAAAGGAAATAAAAACACAAAAGAAAGTGATCGGAGTCCATAGAGGCTTGATCTGCGGCAGAGGTCCTTTTCAACTGGCCCAGTATAACTACCCATCCTTATGCAGCTACTGGAAGATGCAGGTTCCTCCAAAGACCTCGGAGGACAATGCAAAGTACTATTTATTGCCTGGTTTAATGCTGTCACTCACCATCCAGTGCCCGTAAGGGATCATGAGTGTGGTTGGGTGAGCAAGGCAAAGTGTTGAAACTGGGCTCTGCCTTATGTAAGAAACCCATGAGAAGAGTTGTGTGTATGCAATATTGTTGGTGTCCACCTTTGTCCTGGGCTTCAGGCGATTCCTGGGAGCTGGCTGAAGCCCACCACTTTGCCATGTCTGAAGAAGGTCTCCCAGGTGCAGAGAGAGGGTCTCTCCTGTGCTGTGGATCCTGAGCCCCTTGGCAGCTGGCCATGTGTCAGGGTACACTCTGGGGAAGGCCAAGAGGAACAGGGACTTCGTACCTGTGCTCCGGGCACCGATGGGAGCAGAAGGCTTGGCTTCTGGCCCCTGGTTTTAGGGCTGTTCTCATCTCTTGACTAAAGTCTAACATACAACACATGAATGATTATCAGTTAATACTTAGACGTCTCTTTAGTCAAGTCTTGCTTTAGGCCTGCTGGGATATACATTTCATAAAAAGAGAACATTCAAGCTGGAGGCTGGGAGGGAGCTTTTTTTGAATCCCCAAGAGAAGAGGACATTCAGTCAAAGAATGGATGTCTCTTTCTTGATGCATCTCTAAGCGTTTCTGTGTGGGCAAAGAATTAATACTGATCCCAGTTTTAGACTGGAAATTCTATGTTGCTTAATGCTTTGAGTGCATTTTATATGTATTCTAGATCTTTGTCTTAAAATGAGTAAATTAGGGGGCAAACTTGAAGATGTGTGACTTTTTTCTCAGTTCTGTTAGTGCTTCCTGTAAATATCTACAATGGTACTTTGCAGTTCACATTTTCAGAGTTTTGTGACTGCGTTTGTTGTTATTTTTCAACATTTCATCTGAAAAATAAAAATTGGATGAATTTGCAAGGACCATGATGGTGTGATGTCCTTTTCCACCAAATGGATGGCACCAGACCATTGTGAAGCATTTTAAATGCCCAGCTGGGCAATTGCAAAGCACAGTTATTTCTGGAGAGTCGTGGTAGGGAACTGGCTGATTGCTTAGAACAGAGCATATGGCAATTTAGTGATTGGATTAGAGCTGTAATTTGGCTATATGGGACCTACTACCAATTACAATTTTTTCCGTACAAATATTTTTTTAGTTTCAAGGCATTTTGACGCTGAAGTTTTCTTATTAAAAAGAGAAGACTGTGTATTTCTTCATGATGTGTTGGGGTGGAAACTCTCTT